TTAAATGCTGCTTGTTTAAGAAATCTACGATATTAGCAAGACTAACTTTACTTCTTGCTACCTCTCTCCCAGCCCTTGAGACCATCCTACTGTATGATTAGTCGATCTTTGGTCCATGAAATGGACTTTGAATTGCGCAACATGTTTGCCTGACTGCTTAATTGTCTCGCCTCATTAAATCTTCTTTAGATTTGGCTGCACAGAGCAATTTATAATGAAGGGAAAGCTGTAGGGAAATAAGGCCATCTCAACCTCTCAGCCCCAAAAATAGAATGTGTCCTAGGACAGACACATTGTGGGATCAGCTGCAAAAAAAAGGGGGGGTAGAGTCACAGCACAGAAGAGGAGGAGCCAATGACATGTTGATACAAAAGGCCATGCCTGGGAGATTCCATGGGAGTTCTTGCTGTGGAGACAGAGGTCCAATGCTCAACACATGATGACTTCAAAAAGATCTAATAACCAATGGAAGATCATCAGTCAGAAGCCCATTAATGTGGTTCCTTCCCACTAGAGTTCTTTGACTCAAAGTTCTATCAGCTCCAGTCGGTATTCCTGTCTACTGAGAGAGAAAAAACCATTGAAAAAAGCCAACTTCTATCTCCAGGGTTGCCACAAAGAAGAGGGAGTCATTCTCCCTCTTTGGAGCTATTCTCCAAAGCACCTGAAGGCAGGACAAGAAGCAATCGGTGGAAACTAAGGAAGGAGAGAAGCAACTTAGAACTAAGGAGGAATTTCCTGACAATTAGAACAATTGATCAGTTGAACAAGTTGCCTCCAGAAGTTGTGAATGCTCCAAACACTGGAGGTTTTTAAAGAAGATGTTGGATAACCATTTGTCTGAAATGGTACAGGGTTTCCTGCCTAAGCAGGGGGTTGGACTAGAAGACCTCCAAGGTCCCTTCCAACTCTGTTATTTTATGCTCTTGCACAGTCCAAAATATCCGGAGTGTGCTGGATGGAGGAGGGCTACTAGTACTAGGGAAGGGAGTTAATGGTTAGAACTGTATCGGGTAGGCATGGAATAAGTTGGCAGAAGTTGCTTCTGTCCTCCCCTCTCTGCTTTGCATATTGCTCTGATGGGAAGGTGATCTTACTGTCCACAATCTTCAAGCTTTGTTCTGCCTCTCCCCAAAGAAAAGAGTTTTTATCTGCTGTCTACTATGAAGCCAATCCCCTTGAGTTCAAGGAGGAATAGGCGAGGGCACCTTTGGGCATTGTGTGTGAACATCAATGGGTCTTGCTTTTGCCTCCCGCGATTCCCCCTTGGCTTTAAGGTGGTCTCTAGGGAGGACGAGAGTCACCCGAGACCCTCGCTCTTATGGCACCACTGTTGCTCCCTTTCCTCTTTCCTAATTTGTCCTTCTCAGTCCACAAACTCAAATCTCTTAAGGATCACTCGTGGCTTTGTTGCGGTGTGATCGCCGCAGAAACCTCACCATGCTTGGTATCCTAATAACAACGGTTGTTAAGCGGGGCCCACCACGTCTGAATAACCTCTTCTCTCTCTCCTCTTTCCAGACGGTGCGCGTCCAGGGCAATGACATTTCGCACCGGCTGCGGCTGTCGGGGGTCCGGCGGCAGGACGAGGGCATCTACGAGTGCCGGGTGTCGGACTACAGCGACGAAGACACGCAGGAGCATAAAGCCCAGGCGGCGTTGCGGGTCCTGGCGCCTTTCTCGCCTCCCGACGTGCAGGCGGCCGAAGCCGTCTCGCACATCCAGAGCAGCGGTCCGCGGAGAAGCAGCCCGCCCGGGCGAGCCACGGCCGAGCCGGGTCTGGGAAACAAGCGCCTCCTCCCGGCGCAAGGCGAAACTGCCGCTGCGGCCGCCGCTTCCTCTTCCCTCTCTTCCTCCTCCTCCTCCTCCTCTTCTTCTTCTTCCTCGGCGTCTTCGGAGTCCGCCGCCGCCTCTTCCTCTTCTTCCAGCCCCGCGACCGTGGCGGCGGCGGCGGCGGCAGCAGCAGCCTCGTCAGCCTCGCCTCGGCCGGCCTCCGCGATCGTCCTCCCGCAGCAGCGAGGATCAGGTAGGTGGAGCCGCAGCGACACCCGGCGGGGAGTGGCGGAAGCGCATGGAGCTGTCCGTGGTGCTGAGCGCCGGCTTGACTGGACAGCCCAAAAGGCGTAATCGGATTCACATTAACAGAGTAGGAATGGACCTTGTAGGTCATCTAGTCCAACCCCCCCCCGACCAAGCAGGAGACCCTACACCATTTCTGACAGATGGAAGTCCAGTCTCTTCTTGAAAGCTTCCAGTAATGAAGCTCGGGAAGGCAACTTTTGTTCAACCTGCTGTGGCCTAGAGGTGGGAGCAAGCTGCTGTGGCCTAGAGGTGGAACTCTCGCCTCACAATCAGGAGGTTGCAAGTTCAATCATAGGTAGAGGCAGATCTAGGTTCTCCTGCTTGGGCAGGGGGTTGCACTAGATCAGTGTTTTTCAACCACTGTGCCGCGGCACACTAGTGTGCCGTGACATAGTGTAAGGTGTGCCGTGGGAAAATTGCTTTATATATAGTCAATATAGGCACAGAGTTAAAAAATTTTAACATTTTCTAATGGTGGTGTGCCTCGTGATTTTTTTCATGAAAAAAGTGTGCCTTTGCACAAAAAGGTTGAAAAACACTGCTCTAGAGTAAGTGAACTTCAACCTGGAGGTTTTGATTTTTGATTTTGATTTGATTTTTTTGACATTTGTAGGCCGCCCTTTTCCCTGAGGGGACTCAGGNAGAGTGCTTGGGGGGGGGGATGGACAAAAAATGGCCTATTTTTTGAGAAAACAGGCCCATTTTTTGTCAAAAAAATTACATGCATAGCCTTATGAAGGCTTATAGAGTGCTGCAGGGGGGGTGGGGGAATGGCCCGTTTTTTTGCTCATTTCTGCCCTCCCCAGCTCTCTGAAAGTCTCCATAAGGATATGCATGGCCATTTTTGTGAAGGGGCAGGGCTCCGGGAGGCCAAAATACTGTATTCAATGTATAAGACACACCCAGATTTTCAGCCTTTTTTGAGAAATAAAAGGTGCATCTCATACTCTGAAAAATACGGTAGGTAGAAATTATTCATGATCTACAATTTTGCATTAAAAACAGGAAAAGATTAAATGCATAGTTTCACATTGAAGGATTGTTTCTGTCAATTCAGCACACACAAAAGGAATATATATATCTTGCAGTTTTGCTTCATTAAACATACAAGATATATAAATGCCTAGCTTTTCCCCAAAAATAACAATTAAAGCAATTTAATAAACTAAAATGTTATGTGTTTGGTGTTCTATTTTATTTTATATCACTCATTATGTGACAGTATTTGAATAGCATCATATACTGTATATTCCAAAGTTTAAAAAAACCCACCTAATACTGGATATAGACCTGTAAAAGATATGCAAACCAAAATACCATTAAATGTTCAATAGAACTATTTACATAGCTCTAAGTAATCTGGTTCCACATATTTACTATTTCACACCCACCCAATTGAAACTATGGTACCTAATAATTACTGTCAATGCTTTAACCCAACAGCTAAATTCCTAAAGCTTATTCATCATGCTGCACTTGAGCCACCCAAGAAATACACAGAACCACAAACTGAAAGTCAGGAAATTGGTTGGTTTTCCACACCGTTGGTAAGTAGGATTTCAGGGAAAGCTAAATATTGTGGACAAGTGCCACCACAAATTTTGAAGTACTATCATGGTTAAGATGAGCCTTCCCAGGAAGACGATACCATTTTGGAACATTAGAATCATGAGGAACTCCTTCAAAGGGTTCAGGTAGCACCAAATGGGTTATCAGTTGAGGGGAAGTTATATTGAAGCATCCAACATTTTGTTCCTTCATTTATTTCAATGCTCTTACGTTATAATCATATTCTCTTTCACAGGTCAGTATCAACCGGGATGATAGTAGGCTGCACTTCCCAAGTCGGAGTACTGAAATCAGCAGGTACATGGCTGCTCTGTGGCGCCTGAGGCAGATGACCAAAAGCAAATAAGGGCATAATAACATCACGGGATCTTACTGTGAAGATGTTAAACTTTCATTTAGGATTTCTGCCTGCAAGATGATCATCTTGTCATTGTAGTTAGTTATTTTAAGAAAGGAAGCAGTTTTGCTCTTTGAATTTTTAGTGGTTGCAATAAACTTGTTCCCAAATTGTTTGTGAGTGTGTGTTTCATAAGATACCTAGGCAAGGAATTTCTCATCCATAACTACGCCATCTCTCCGAAGACCGTATTTTTCGTAGTATAAGACGCTCTGGACTATAAGATGCACCTATCTTTTGGGGGGAGGAAAACAAACAAACAAAAAATCTGCCTGTGCCTCCCAGCATCCATCTAGTATTCATCTGGCCCATTAGCCGTGGCCCATTCACCACCACCGCAGCCCATTCTAGAACAACTGAGTGGTGCAGCACCAACCACCACCCCGCCGCAACATTTGCTGTATAAGATGCACCAAAATTTTCATCCACTTATACTCTGAAAAATATGGTACTAATATGCATAAGTGATTAATGCACAGTTCATGATACTCAAATCAGAGCGAGTAATTGAGTGCCATTAAGTGAAGGAAGTAATGAAAAGGTCAAAACAGGCACTACTACCATACTCTGCAGGGCCAACATTGCTTCTTTCCAAACCTTAAAGGAAGATGAAACAATACTTTTTAATTCATATAAGGAATTTTCAAACTAGTCTGAAAGGAAAGGCAATAAAAAGCATCTATTTGCCATTTGTGTGTGAATTGTGGTGTGCGCAGGATCAAACAGAAACATCTGCTATTCCACAGCACACCCATAACCAGGGAGGTTCAAGTTCCATATCTGTTCATGGCTATATGCCAATATTGTGTATGGAGCTGGGCTTAAAATGTCATTCCATTTCCAATCCTTATCACGAACGGCTCTTAATTTTTTGCCTCATCTTTTTGCCAGGCCTCTTCTGAAAAGAGAGGAAAAAATATAGAATTCACTAGACTTATCAGCATAGTCACACATGTTCCCCTAGTGATCCAATTGTAGCATGTAATAACCCAACTCTAACTTACTTTGGCACCCTTTTTTCCTGCTTTTCCAGTTCCCTTGTTGTGGGCTTTGCTAGCACGGAAGCTGGACACATCATTGTAGCTTTCCTTAGTGTTCCATTTGGACCCCTTCTTTCTGCCACCAAAGCCAAATTTCTGATTCTTGTAGCGTCTTTTTGCATTTGGTCTGAAAGAAAAAACAATATGTCAGTCATGACTAGGTATTTGTTCCTACAAATAAAATTAAAAAGATACTTTGGCCCATATATGTTGTTTCTTAAAAATAGCCAAATATTATACTTTCTGCCAAACTAGGTTTCAGTAAACATTCCTTTTAATCTAGCAAAAAGACTACTCAATCTGTATTCAATATTGTTTTTTTAAAATAGTTTTTATTAAACATTTTAATCTTTAAAAACAAAGAAAAACATAAGAAAAAACAAAAAAACCAAGACATGCATAACAATATAAAGTAATTATACAGTCTTCTGTATTGGCATTCATGTTTAGCCTTTATAGTTCTCCATTCTGCATTGCCTTCCTATTGATGTTACCTTGTCTAATAATAATAACAGTACTGACACTTGTAATTATATTAATTGTTTATATCAGTGTTTTTCAACCACTGTGCCGTGGCACACTAGTGTGCCGTGACATAGTGTAAGGTGTGCCATGGGAAAAACACC